TGTCCCTCTACCAATCTGAAAATCTGGTCACCTTACTTTTAACCCTTGCTTAACTCTGCTCGAGTGATCATAAAACACCTAAAGTCAGACTAGATGAGGCACATCATTCTCCTGCCTCCTCCCGTAGAGGGCGCTTTTTATAGGCTTTAAACAGTTAAGCACTAAGTAGAGTCATCCACGGTGACTCTAGCAGCAACTAGCTCAGCCTGACCTCGGCTTTTGCTTTTTTCCTTTTACATTTTTTTAATCTTTTCATGATGACAGTGGTGAGTTCTGCCTCCCCTGCCTCCCCTGACTGCACGTCCCTGAACCAATGGTATCTTTTCCCAGGAATTTGCAGCAGCATAATCTCAGGAAAAGAACAGCTGCTTTAAGGAGTGGCAGTCATGTTCACCTCTGCTTGTAGTCCAAACAATATCCCAAAGGTGCTTTTCCAAAAGCTTCTTGGATGAGAAGAAAAACATTGTCAAAGAAAAAAACCCAATAAAGTCCAGTTGCCTTTGGGAAAAGCACCTTGGGACAACCATGACCTGGATGAGAATCTCCATATACATTTACACCAAACAATGTTTGTTATACTGAATCAGAGATACTCCTATTAACAACTGAAATTGCCATTCTAGCTTTGAAAAAAAAATACATGGTATATACATGGTGTATATTTATATAATGCTTCTGTGCCACTAACTTTTCTTCGATTCAATCATTTCTGACTTGGAAACTACCATGGCAATGTTTTTTTCAGAAGTGGTTGGCCACACTGCCTCCTTCCAAGGACTCAGAGATAGTGTCTAGACCAAGGTTACCCGGTTGGCTTCGTGCCCAAGACAGGACTAGAACTCACAATCTCCCATGCTGATGCCTTAACTGCTATAGCAAACTGGCTCTTAGTTGCAAATTATATTGTGAATTGCAGCATCCACTTTAAGGTGCCTCAGGCATATTCAATATATAATATATCTTGGTTCCCCTTTTTTAGATCTGCTGAGGCATTACATATTTCAATTTGAAATACCTGCTATTATACAAAAGTTGTTTTAACTATACCCATATATTTGCCAACAGTTAAAATCAATTGAGGACATTTTCATACAAACATACATATCAAGAAATTAGTTCAAATTTCTCACTAAAGTAGAAGAGTGAAAATAGTTGATTTGAAGAGCCTAGACAAGTTTGTGATCGAGTTTCAAATTATATAGTCAAATTGAATTAAATATGTGTGAATTAAATTAGCTCTCTTGATCATAAAACCAGACTATAGTGTTGTAACAACTGAAGAACAGAAATGGTAAGCCATACTTTTATATCCAATTAGTAAACTCCAAAATTACCCATATATGATAAGAAACAAAAAGTTAACTCAAATCACCAATGGTATAATTCCCGGAAATATGATTTTATGAATCTTACCACCATTTTTTAAAAGTCTATTCAACACATCACAGAAAAAAACATTAAATTATATGTAAAGCTTAGACTTTACAGCATTCCTGATCTTTTTTCTTTCCCATACTACTAATATAAGAATTAATTAATTAATAATATTTATTTGACCAGCAAAAATTTAAAACAAAATTAAAAAGGAAATAAATGCAATAAAATATCAACAGCTAGCAAACTAAATCACAAAATATAAGTCACCCCTCTTACTATATTAATACAGCTGTTTACCTAGGTGATAAATCTAAACCATGAATAGGGTTGAAATAAAAATGAAAGCTATATATCCTCCACAGTTCAATTAAGTTGTATCAAACCCAGTGGTGGGATTCAGCTAGTTCGCACACATTGGGAGAACCAGTTGTTAAATTACTTGAATCGCACCACTGATCAAACCAAGTATTATTTTAAAACAAAAGTAAATATGTCTTTGACCAAGTGCATTTGGTCAAGCCCCAAGAATAAAATCAACTATTGCATATCCATTAAATGGTTATAGATTCTGAAGGAGAAGGTTCATGTAAAATGTATCTAGTCTCCCAGGAAATTTATTTATTAGGAGTACAATATAGATCAGGATTTCAAACTCATGTCGTCACAGCGGTGCCATGTGACATATCAGGACTTTTTCCCCTTCACTAAACTGGGCAGGGGTGGGGCCAGCATGTGATGCATCTGGCCCGCACGCCACAAGTTTGACACCCCTGATGTAGATGGACAATGTCTCTGTAAAATTTATAACATAGTAATACATGTAACACGTTTTCAACCTCTTCCTCACAACATGGGTAAATACACTTAGCTGCAGGAATAGCCAAGAGTCTAGAACAGGGGTATCAAACTCAAGGCCCAGAGGCCGGATCCAGCCCATGGGGTGTTTAGATCTGGTCCATGTGGCTGCCCTAGAAACAGCAAAGGACCACTCTATGGTGCTCTGCCAGCAAAAAATGGAACTCGGGAGGGCCGCAGATATTTTCACTGGCAAAGGGTTGCAGGAGGCCATCGCAACCAAAAACGGAGCTCAGGAGCCAATTTTGGCTGGCAGAGCACTTGGGCACCACAGGTGCCAGTATGAGTGACATCAAGCTGGCCATGCCCACACTGGCTCCCCAAAGTCAAACACAACCCTGAAGTGGCCCTCAGTTAAATCAAGTTTGAACTCCTGGTCTAGAAGATAGGCTTAAGATAGAGAAGGATCTTGACATATTTGAACATTGGGCCCTATTTAAAAAAATGAAATTCAATGGTGAAAAAAGTAATTGTCAGCACTTCTTCATTGGATAATCAGGAAAGAAAACCACAA